TGGTCAGGCTTTCTAACACAAGTTGAGATGAAAATGTAGTACATGGGCCCTTGCCTGTCCTGCCTGCTTTGCTCATGGGATGACTGTGAGGTTTAGCAAACAAGTATTGCTAATGTGGCTTGGGATCTTTGCCTAGATCATGCTTTAAAAATCCATGGGATTGTTATTCAGATGCAAATAAGCCTGAAATATTGTTACCTTTCCACTGAAGTGAAGGATGGATCTAATAAAACCAAATTTAATGGAGTGCTGCTGAATCAGATTTTTTCCTAAGGGCTCTGTAATATCTTACATTGTTTCATTTTCATTATGAAGAGGTATCGATCTATTCCTTGAATTGGGTCTGTCAGCAGAGAAAGTGCAGAACATCTTGGAGCCCGGGGAAGTTGTTCCAGTGAGCTGCTGACCTCTGCTTTTAGAGCAAAATCCTTTCCAGGCAAAAGCAACGAGTGGAACCATTTTGTCAGTTTGTCTAAGCAGCTTCAGTAAAGTGCTCTGCTTTGGCTAGCTCAGCATCGATTTTAACCTTGGGAGGGATGCAGATGGGTATGTTTGCGTGGGAGTGAGTGGGTTTTTGGGCTGTTGATGTCCCCCTTAAGCGTGGCAGGTGGAGCCTGGGAGGGGAGCACCGGTGGGACGGCCCTTCCCAAGTCTGCGTGCATCCAGCAGCCGCGTCCCCACGGCTGGGCAGCGTGGGTCTGAGGGCAGGCTCAACAGGGCTGGTGTCTGCCTACTTTGTGACCGTTCCTGTAACGTTGCAAGCAAAAAAACCCAACGCCTTGCTGTAGCCAGCCTCTTTGAGCAGGATGCAGGGTAGCTGGAAGTTCCCCTGAAGGCATGGACTCAGTTTAGGGGTCCCGGTTCCCCATGAGGGGAACTAAGGGGAGCTCACAGGTTGGTTTAAAAGAAGAAGAATGTCTAAACTCTCATGGAGCAAGTTTAGGTGCAGCGATACAAGTAGTTATTTTGGTTATGTTTCTTTAGAGCACATTTGGGAGTTTTATTCTTATATTGAAAGTGCTTTTCCTGCTCTTCTGTGCCTGACGCAGGCCTGCTCCTGTTTGCTAGTGGCTGTGTCACAGCATGTGCTTAATCTTAAGGACAGGATGAGTGTTTTGTTTCTGGGACCTCTAGTCCTGGCTTCTGGTCACATTGAATAGCAAGCCTAGTGAAGGTGCCTTTCTTACTTGCTGCTCTTACATCTGCAGAGGGAAGAAGCTTGCTCCCAGATGCTTCAGGCTGGTGAAGTGAGAGGGTTAATTTGTGCTGGTGATTGTGTTTTAACTGACTGTGGCTGTCACAGGTTCCCCTTGGGTGGCTCGGTGGGTTATGTGCTCCTTGTGCCATTGTCCTCTCTGTACATTCATTAGCAGTCTGGAGGGTATCATTAGTGGTAGGCTTTTATTTCTGAGATGCTTAGCTCTCCCTCTGGAGTTCTGCGGGGATAACACCATCTTTTCCACTGCGTGTTGTCCTGGAAATGCAGATCATGCTGATTTAACAAGTACCTTTCCTGCAGGACTGCTCTGTCCCTGGGCTCCTTTCACAGTGTGTGCCAGTGATGCTTGTGTCACTGCAGGCACATCCGCCCGGCAGCCTTTGACCAGCCCTGCTGAATTAATTGTTCCCTGCCCTTCTCCCCGTGATGCATTACGTGCAAGGGATCTGGACTTGCAGCGGAAGTTGGTGGGTCGGAAAGTTTTTTCTGAGCTTAGTTGTGTTGATGTCCTGCAGATGAACAGTTCTGTTTCATTTCTGCAGCTCTCAAACAAGCCAGGTGATGATTTCTGGGGAATCTTTTACTCTTCTTTCTGCAGCTGTATCTTGTACTGAACTGTACCAGTTGCAAGGCACAGCACAGGAGAGAATAAGACTGTATGTTTTGAAGCCTGAAGCCTGTTTTGGATAGCTGTGCAGGGGGAGGATGCCCACAGCAGCTGGCAGACAGGAACCTTAAGAATTGTGTTTCTTCAGAGCAGAAAACAGGCTTTCAGGTTGCCTTCATCAGGTTAGCAGCTCCACACCAAATCACTTCTTGGCAGACATGAGCTCTTGCTCTTACAATTTTTATAGCTGTGATGGTGCCTTGTTCACTTACACCAGCTGGTGCTCAGTGAGCAATTCCTGTCCCCAGTCCTTCTCCCTTCATGGCTATTGCCTCTGCACAAGGCAGCTGGATAGGAGAGGGCGTTTGCAGGTGGCAGAAGTCTTTCAAGCCAGCTGGCACAAGACTTTCATTATTGTCACCCAAACAGTTTGGCAAAGCAGCATGATGTGTGGGTTGGACACTGCTCCCAGCACCACTGCTCCTGACCTGGCCAGCCGCTTCCCCTCTTTGCCCATCTCATTTCCATCCCAGTTTGTTATTTAAACTGTGTGCCAGGTTTGCAGAAGTGCCTGGCTGACACTGCACTGCAAAACCGTGGGACTTGTCAGGCTCACTTCTGAAAGTGTAGCCTGTGCTCCTCTGCCCCTCAGGCACTTGTGCTATTTTTTTTCTTTGAGCAGTTCGAGGTCAGAGACTGTCACTGTCCCTAACGCTCACATCAAGCACAGGGATATTCTGGTCTGGGAGGTGCAAATTTTCATTTAGTGTTTGATGGCTTTGATTTTTGCAAAGGATGTGTTTGTTATTTCTTTGTTCAACACTTGTGTTGCTCCTGTACCTAACAGCCAGCAGTGCTCAGACCTGTGGGGCACCAGGCTGAGATGGGCACTGAGCAAACACAGAGCATCTGGCAAATGGCCTGTGTTTTTCCTCTAGTTCTATTAGATTGAGCAAAGGCAGGGAATGTGTTTTACAAGATAAATAGTTATTTGATATGGGAATGGGTTTGTGGTTTTGTTGTTTTTGTTTGGTTGTTTCTGTTTTTTTTTTTTTTTTCCACTTTCCTGTACGAAAGAAATAATAAAAAGCCTAGAGTACCTGCTTGCCTAGTGTAACTCCCTCAGTTTTCAGACTTGGCTCCAGGGTTGTACTTGTATAGCCCACATATATCTGTGTCCTGTATTTTTTTTTAGAGGCATTGGGAATATTAGCCATGTGGTACTCTGCCTGATACCAGACACCTACATAAAAGGCAAATCATCATCTCCTGAAAAGTAATTTCACCCCTCACACCCCCCTCACTTTTTTTTTTGCCTTCCCCATATTACCGTAATGAAATGTCAGCTTGCCACCAGCTTTGCTGTGGAGCAGATGTCTCTTCGTAATTACTGTTGTTGCAGGGTTTTCAGTGTTTATCCTGACTGTCTAGCTGGGCTGTTACAGCATTAACTGCCTCACATCACAGCATGGCCATGCACTTGCTGTGCATCTGGAAGAGGATGTAAGCGCCAGTGCTTTCCAGCAAGCTTTTGGCTGTGAGGTCTCCAGATCAGCTCTTTAATGTGCTCAGGACAGCAGCCCTGTCAGTGCTTTAAACTTGCAGAAAAAGTATCTGCAAGTGTGACCTCCCCTCCCACACGCAGCCTGCTGGAAAGCTGGCTTGAAAAGAGCACAACAATTACATGAAGTTTGTTCTTTTAGTCCTGAAACAGAAGCTGGGATGCTCCCTAGGGCAGGCTGCTTTTGTGTCACTGTGTTGGTCAGGTTTGTAAAGCAGGAAAGGATTAGATCAGCATTTTCCCCCACCAGTTGTGTATTTACTAGGAGATACAAAGTGCTTATGGGGAGGTATAAAAACAAACACGCTCCCTTTGCAAGAAGGAAATATGAAAATGATGGTTGGGGCTGGGGGAGGAGGGAGACGGAGGGGTCCTCTTCCTCTGGGAAGGGGCAGTAAAGACTTACAGGATTTCTTCTGTTCATGAAAGTCTTTCGCGTTTTCTACAGTTCTGCTTTTGGGGTCATTTTATGTTCTGAAAGTATTTATATTTTTAAATTTGTTCTCCATGTTCCTGAGAAGTCAGCCACTTTCCTACAATTCTCTGTTGCTGCTTCACTCACTTGTCCAGAAATGGCTTTCTTGCAGCTGCAGTATTGCTTCCCAGATAGCTTGTAATGAGTGGGATTTTCGTGGTGGTGTTTTCAGTGCATCTCAGCCTTCAAGCTCTTTGCAAGGGTTTGTTTCGTTTTGGGTATAGAAGCAATTCAGGTGGTTCCCATAGCTGGCCTCACGGAGTTGGGGCAGAGCTGGAGCCTTTGCAGCCTCGCAGAGCAAAGGGCCCTGCGCAGGGACAGCCTTCGGGCTGCGTGGCAGAGCTTTGGCCGTGGCTCTGGGTGTGAGAGTGGTCGGAGTGGCTGGCAGCTGTTTGGGGTGGTGCAAAACAACTCGAGCCCATTTCTCTATTTGTGGGCTCCATTGCAAAACAAGGCCAGAGAGAGAGCGCCTTTTTGGGGGGGTGCTGGCACCAACTGGCTGGTGATTGCTCCATGGTCAGAGGTGTCTTTTGAGCTGGAAATGCCCACTGATTTCAGAGCTGTTGGCTGGCCTTGGTGCTTGGCTGCTAGTTGTCTTATTTTGCCTAAATACCTCGTTTGGGCCTGTTTCATTCTGCCTGAGGTTCTTCCCCCTTTGACTAGCTTTATGGCATTGCAGTTTCAAAATAAACAAATTAAAAATGAACCTCTTTATTTGGATCCCATACAACAAGCTTCCCAACACATCAGCTGCTCCGATGATGCCAAGCAAATCTGCAAGATTTGAGTGATTTCCTTCTCTAACAGCTCTGCTCGATCCTACTGGTTGGGCTGTTTCTGGGTTCATGTCTGATCTTTGCATAATTCCTGGTGGCAGATGTATTTTGGAGTGTTCTGTATACCTCAGTGTGGCGCCAAAAAGGAATGGCGATAGGAAATAGCACTTCAACTACATTATATTGCATATCCAGCAGCAGCCTGGAGTGGGATGCCTGAGCTTGCACCTTCAGTTTCATCTTCCTGGAAAGGTTTTCTCTGGGTGGGTTGGCTGCTGTAGCAGACCATGCTCCTATTTTTTTTTTTTTATGCTTGTGGGGGGTTTTTTGTTTGTTTTTTGGTTTTTTTTTTTTTTTTTTAGTGCACTACCAGAAGATCATTCACCGGGACATCAAGCCTTCCAACTTGCTCTTAGGAGATGATGGACATGTCAAAATTGCTGATTTTGGAGTCAGCAATCAATTTGAAGGGAACGACGCCCAACTTTCCAGCACGGCAGGGACACCAGCCTTCATGGCACCAGAGGCCATTTCAGACACAGGCAAAAGTTTCAGTGGAAAGGTAGGCCTTTCCTCACAGTCTTCTGGGACCTGCAGTCATGGCACATAGGGCAGCACCACACCTGCATCCTTTGTGTGCTGCCCACCCAAGGATTATGGTGTAAATTTGGGTTGTTATTTAGTAAAACTGAAGTTCTAGTTCTGTGTTCAGTCTAGGCAAAACTCACACTGGTTGATCTGTGCAGCAGGTAGACAGACTTTGCTGCAGAACTCTGCCCAGGTAGGAGGCATGTTAGAGCCCTTTCCCTGCCCAAAGAGAGAAAACTCCTGATTCCCTTCCAAAATAATGAAGAGGCACAGGAGGCTGCTGGACAGCAAGGTCATGCCTTGATCCCCTGAAAGTGTGGGACACTGCGAAGCTCTGTGATGCAGATGTGGGGATAGAGTCTAGTGTGGGGGTTTTTTTCTTGGAAGAAGACTTTTGAGGTTGAGCCCTGGAAGGTCTCATCTGCTGTGGGAAGGGGCAGCTTTGCTGGTTGCTGCACTCCACCACGAGGACAAACGTGGCAGCGTCTGGCCCAGCACAGTCCTCATTACCCAGGCATGCTACAGATGCCTTTAGGAGCCTGACTTAGAGAGGCTCTGCACAATAACACAGAAAATGTTAAATGCATACAAATAATGTTCTGTGAGTTGGTGGGGAAAATCCAGCTCATTTAGCTGGATTTAGCTCATCTATGTTGCGTTTGATTCACTGCCTGCACATGCTTTCTTTCAGGCACTTGATGTATGGGCCATGGGAATTACCCTGTACTGCTTTGTTTATGGGAAGGTAAGCTGGATTTCAGATGCTGGAGCCCTGCATGGGCGTGTCAGCCTGCCTGGCTTTTTGACTCATTCCTTTCCAAATAAAGGCAAATATTAGAAACAAAGACATACCTTTTGCAAGCTCCTGTTTTCCCAAATCACCCTGCAGATGAGAAGGGGCTGACATTGTGATCTGTGGAAAGGATGGTTTCTAGAATTGGCCACTGTACTCAGAGCAGTTGTTTGTGCTACAAATCTAGAGCAACATCAGTGGCACCAGCAATGGTTTGTTGAGGGGTTATCTATATTGCCTGTATATAGAAACAAGCTGGATAAAACATCGAGAGGGGCATAGGTTTGATCCCAAGACACCGCAGAACTTGTAACAATCCAAATTACAGAAAGCTCTGTCTGCCAGAGCAGAGCTGGTCCAGATGGAGACCACTTTAGCAGAGCCAGCCTTCTGCAAACTCCATGCCCTGTCATGGCTTTCTCCTCTCCAGTGGCCAGAATCCCCTTGTCCCACCCATGCTTTCCCAGGGCAAGCAGTACAGCAGGTACTGGTCTGTGTGTGCAGGTACCTTACCTGAACCCCCTGCCCAAGCATGGACCGCTGCAGATCCCACACACAGGCGTAAGGCATCCAGCTCAGAGGTAAGAAGTAGCTGGGGGAGATGGCAGAGGCAGAACTGTATCCATTGGTGGTGTGATACCGCTGAGCTAAGTCAGGATGGAAAATGTTCTCTGACCTCTGACCATAATGATGTTTCATTTGGGCCAAACCCTCGAGTGAAAAGGGTATAACCTTAGTTTTATATTCTGGTATAGCGTCATGGTGATATTACTTCCCTCTGTGGCAAGCACTGGAGGAAAGAAAGAGGGAATATAAAGCCAAGCACAAGGATACATTTGCCTGTTCCACATGACCATGAACAGTGAATACTGTACATTTTGTACCTATTTTATATTTCATAATTTAATCTGGCCAGCCAGTCTGAGACAGGGCCTGCCAGCAGCCCACAGTCCACTAAAACAAGTGTACCTGTTCCACATACCTATTCCTTCAGTTTTGATGCAAATGTTTATAGGACCTGTGGATATGCTGCTCCTGCATTCCCCGCAGTGTTCACCGCAGCTCAGTTAACTGCCTGCCAGTCCTGCCTGTCCTGCCAGGTAGCCAGAGCCAGAAGCTAGGTCTAAATGAATCCAGTGTAAAAAGTTGTGCTGCAGAAAAATATGCTTTAAATCCAGATACTTGAATTTAAAGTGGAAAGCCAAGCATTTTTAATAGTAATACCTAGCTCCAAAGAATGCTTATCACTGAGAGACTTCGAAGCAGTGATACAAGCCAGCTGCTGTCAGTATCTCCATTTTACAGGTAGAAGTGGAGCAGAGAAAATGAAAAGGTAGTTTATGGTCACCTAGTAGGCTGGATAAAGGCAGGTATCCCAATCCAGTTATATATTCCCTAGATCCCTCTGCTGTTCTGCGTTTATTTTTTAATAAGGAACAAATCAATTGTGTGTGTGGAGATTGTATTTATTTCTGTCTCTGCGTAAAATCAAGAGTGTGCAATCAGAGACTATAATTCTGTTACATGAATGACAAATGCTTAAGTGGTGCCAGGATCTCTGACAACTGGAAAATCTTTTGTTTGCTTTACAGTGCCCTTTTATAGATGAATATATTCTGGGTCTTCATAACAGGATCAAGAACAAGCCTGTGGAGTTCCCAGAAGAGTAAGTAAACTTTACTCAGCTACTGTAAAATAAAGTTCAGTTTTCAGTATTATTCACTGTGCAGCATAAATGCCCGTAGGTCACCACAGCGGGACAGACAAGGTGCTTTGTGTTCCCCTGGGTCCTTTACGTGGGTTCTGTGCAGGTGGTGGTGTCAAAGCATTACAGCTGCCTGTGCTGCTCCTCTGTCGGTGTCGTGCAGACAGGGACTAAAGGAAATGGTTCTGAAATCTTTGGAAGTGGAGGGGTTTCAGTATGTGTCTAGGGAGTTCTGCCCCAGCCATTTGATCCTGGAGATGCTGGAAGCATGGGTTGGTTGGGGTTTTGTGTTTGTCCCGTGTGGTAGGCACTGTAACAGGTCAGTGTATTAGTTTTCAAAAGCAATGTGGTTTATAGAGCTCGGTGTCAGTGTAAGTAAGCACATGCCTCTTGCGTGGGCTTACCTTGGAGCTACCAGGGAAGTGTCTGATGGAAGGAGGCATGTCCTGAGAGACAGCCACAGCTTGGTGCATCCCCACTCCTCTGCCTCCTCCAACACACCTCAGGAAAATATGGGTTTGTCTTGTGTGCTGGGGCTACTTAAGAAAAACGAAACAAATGAATTTACCTGTTTGATATTGAGAGGCTGCCCCCCACCCTGCTTTGGTCAGTGAAGGAGGCCCATGTTGGCCACCGTCAGAGCTGTGTGGTGTCTACTGGGCTGTGTTAGGTGGGGTGGCTGCAGAGTCACAGGGCACCCTCTAATCCCCAGAATCGCACTCAGCGGTGCAGGGGGACAGGCCAAGGCCACTCAAATGCGGTTTGAGCAGTGGGAAGCTGAGCAGTGAGTGTTTGTGGTCTTGTTGGGTGAGCCTGGCAGGAGATGATTACACTCAATGTGTGCTCAGCTGCTTCCACCAAGCCATCATGCCTTTCCCTTCATGTATTGGCTACTCCTTGGCATTTCCTCCATCTTCAAGCCTCTGGTGACTTTCTGTTGCTGATTAATTTGTTTATTCTGGCTGCTATCAGATGAAGTAGCCAAAGCTGGACTCTAATTTCCTTTCCAAATCAGCACAGTAACCAAGCAAAGAGGTTTTTGACCTTCTTGACTGAATTGCTCATTCTAGTAAAAATGTAGAGATAAAAAGAGTTGATTTAAAACAAGCATGAAGAAATTAAAACTCTAATGAAAGGCACATCTGGTATTGGAGAGGAAGGGAGGGATGTTGTCAGGCAGCCTGTGATATGTGTGTGTATCTACTGTCTATTACATGCATTTTTGTATGAGGTGCTCACTGAATTTTTAGACACCTACGGCAAAGGGCTGGGCCTCTGCCTTGGCAGTCCCAGGCTTCCTTCTGAGTTTGCAGAAAGCAATGGGCACTCAGGCTGTCCCATTTCAGCCATCTGCTTTAGATGGGATGACTCATGCCCCAGGCTCCATGGGCTGTGCTGACTGCCTCTCCATTGACTGAAGCACAGCCACTGCAGATAGCTCAGACGGAGCTGTCTCCACTCAGGCTGGTGGAGCCCCCACTGAGGACTGTGGAGCACACCACACCTCCCAAGGACCTGCGGCCACATGGTCAGGCCACTTGTTAGATGGCAAACACAGGCCCCAGTCGTGGGTATGGAGCCATTCTGGCAAGCCAGCCCTGTGCTGTTGGTGAGGTTTTACAGCTAACCAGGCCTCAGGCATTAAGAGCACGAAGGCTCGTCATGCCATGTTGCTGTGTTCCCACCGGTCACTCTGTGGCTGGGGCAGGACTTTGTCTTGACAGTGTTGCAGAAAAAAAAAAAAAAAAAATTAAAAAAAAAAAATTGTATTTCCTTGGCAGTCTTCTCTCTGCTTGCTTGGGTCCTGCCAAAATGCCCATCTTCTCTCAGCCATCATATATTTGGGTTAGCAGTCAGCTTACAAGTGACTGTTCCCATCTGTCTCTGCAGTAAGTTATTAACATTTAATGGGCTAACTGGGTTGTGCTAAGAACCTTTTCTTCATTCAGACATTTCCTTCAGCGATAATTCAGCTGTATGATTTATTTGGATTTCTCTGTGACCTGCTCTCCCAGTCTAAAAAAACTGCACCCCTAGTTAGGTTGTTGGGGGAGCAGAGAGTTACTGGGTGTTGATGGCTGTCTAAACTACATCTGTTTGTTAGATAAAGGCAGTAACAGACACACACATAAAGCTGGAATTGCCTGGACTGGATCCACCCTGACCTCCTACAGAATTAGCACCTCACTGCATTTAGGAATATTTTGGTTTCAATTTATTTCACCATGGCTACAAAAGTCACATTCCTGTTTGCAGACAGTCCATGGAAACTCATTGCCTGTTTCCTGACAACCTTTAGGACAGAGTTGGAGCTGACTACTGGCGTCATTGTCCCTTCCCTTCCCTTAGAGATGCTGGGATAAATATTTATTGCTCTGGAGTTCTCATTCATGTCAGTGAGTCCTTGGCATGACACGACGTAAATGGGGTTAGCTCACACCCTGATGATCTTGGCACGACTAAAAAGCAAGCTGGAGAAGTTTCCAGGCACGTATTAAGAGAGCCAGAAGCTCAGCATAGTCCCTCCTGGTGAAGAGCTGAAGTCCAGGACAATGTTCTCTGACCTGCAGGCACCCTGTAAAATGATCTGTGGTGCTGGCAGCCCTCCCAGATGGGTGCTGAGCTCTGTGATGCTTGGCATTTTCTGGAGAGCTGTTACAGGACTATGACTGTGAGAAATTCCAGATGGCACAGGCTTTTCAGATGAAAAATGCCATTGGGTACAGCATGCACCCTGGCAGAATGGAGAGAAGGAAAAACAGGGTGATGCAGTCTGTCACCTGGCCATAACCCACCTGACACTTTGCGATCGTCTTTACAGGGCTTTTCTTTGTGACATTAATCCTATGTTGTGTAGAAACTAATCTGGTGCCCAGAAATGTTAGGTGATTATATATAATCAATTTCTTGTATTTTAAATAAAGCCATTGCCAGTTTGGCACAGATCTGATGTTAAGTATTTTAAAAACACCATCCTACCCACATCTCAGTGTGGTCCTTCATTAAGAGCGTGCTTATTCTGACCTGCTAAATGCACTGTCACTCCCCACAGCTGCTCCTCTGTGCCTGGAGCTCACCTCAGGAGCAGCACAGTTCTTCCCATTCCCACCTCAGCTGACACCTGCAGTGCAGCCGAGGAAGTGGGAAGCCTCTGAGGACTCATCCTGCTATTCCAATTGTCTGGGCCATCTTGCCTGTGTGCTGCAGACCCTTGGCATAACGCTGAAAGTGTTTAGACTTTAAACTGAACCCACTTCCTGCCCCTTCCCACTGAAAGAGCAGTGTTTCTTTGTGGCTGGTTGTTAAAGATCCCATAACCAAAGTCCACGCAAAGTGTTCATAAATTATTAAACAGCAGCTCTATTTTCATCAGGCTATAATACTCCTTACTGTGATGTGGTCTTCATTTAGGTTGATGATAGTTTATTCCCTCCTCTGCTTGCGGGGGGTGCAGAGGAAGTGGGCACATCACCTGGGCCTCATCAGTGTTTTCAATCTGAAATCAGGCCCTGCTGGGGAGTGACCTTTTATGCTGCCAAATCCCCTCTCCATGCAGAAACACAGCTCCTCAAAAGTCATTTGTGATGCAGACTTTCAACTGCCTAACATGGTTCTGTCATATGCTGGCATTTTATTTCAGTAGCACTTTGATCATACAGATCAAGTGTGTTTTAAAGACATTGCCTGCATCATTAGCAACAGAAGTCATTGAAGCCTTTGGACTAGAGGGACAGACTGCAAGACCGAGGACTCTGAATAGGGAGGCTTCTGAGTACTGGCACTCTAGCATTTAGATCTTGGAAACAGTGTTAAAAGTTAGGAGTATTAATCTCATCTGTTCATTCCTTCCTTATGTTACCCCCCTACCTATACAGGTAGGAAATACCAGGTTACCAAACTGGCTGCCATCAGTTCTAGTGGAAGCAATTTAATTAACACAACCCGCAAGATTATCTGGGAGCCTGAGTGTCAGATGGGGATGTTTCTTCCAGCACGTGGTTGTTCATGATGCGGGTTTGGCAAATCAAGTTGTGCCCTTCTTGTATCATAGAGCCCAGCTCCAGTTCTGCTCTCAGTAACACTTTGTTGTCCCAGAATCTGTCCTCTGAAATTCCCCTGTAATGTGCAGTCTTTAAAATTGTCCTTAGAATCATTCACCTGCTCCCTTCTCCTGCATTTTGAGAGTGTGTAGCTGTGTTAGTGGGCAGAACAGAATAACCAGCCCTGTAGCAGTGACAGTGATGCCTGAGAGGGAACCAACCAACTTAGACCTTCATTTCTCAAGCCAGATTTGCAGAGAAAATACCTTCTGAGCAGAGCAGACTCTACCAAGTAACTGCAGTAAAGATTATGCATGTCTTGAGCACTTAAAATTTCCTTCTTAACTGTATACTGCTATTTTCTTTACTCAGAGGACAGATAAGTGAAGAGCTCAAGGAACTGATCCTACACATGCTCGATAAAAATCCCGAAACAAGGATAACAGTCCCTGAAATTAAGGTAAATTGGACATTGATATTATAGTCTTTTCTCTTAGCTGATTTTGTTGTTCCTTTGGTACCTTCTGATGAGGCAGAGCTGTTCCCCATGTTTGTTTTGGGAGCTTTCTCTGGCACGCCGCCTTGGAGAATGCTCATTTTGCAGCATGTAACAGCTCTGTCACTGCTGCTTGCTTGGGAATATTTACAAAAGCTTTCTTGTTTACTTATTTAAATTAAGATCACTCAAAAGCTGGCTGATCCTCAGTGAATTCCCAGGAGAATCGACATTGTCATGGGGCCTGCCAGCTGCAGAGCCTGTGCTGTCAGTGTTGGACCTGTGTTACAGGGGCTGGCAGGGGTGTTCCTCCTCTGGTGCTTGTGTGGTCAATGGCCTCAAGGCAGCACATTTGTTTCTATCAGCATTACTTGGGAGTTGCTTATTAATGGAGTGAATAGGCCTGGTAGAGCACGATGCTTCATAGGATTTGACTTAGTTCAGTTTTCACATGGGCCTTCTGTCCTCCTGTCACCCTTCACCAAGGCCTTAGACCTGCTGGAGGACCTCAAGATTTCCACAGAGATCCATCAGCATCCTCTACGGGGCACACTACTCTTCTTCGCTTTCTCAGGCCAACACCAGCACATTTGCCACCAGAGCTGACAGTAGGAAGGTTGAACTTCAAGAAAAAAAGTGACATTCCTTCAGTCTGTGCCCAGGAGGGTACAGCCAGTGATGGTGGGAATTCCTTTGAAGCTGTATTTAAGGGTTTCACTTGGCAGCTAATGCAGGTAGTTATGTGGAAACCTGTGCCCTGTAAGACCCCCTGGGGACAAGAGCAGAGCTGGGTTCTGGATCTTATCCCTGACCGTGCCCTGAAGGCGCTTGGTGTGCTTGAGGACTTCCATTCCATGCTGAAAGAGCATGTGTCTCTAGCATGAGGCTGGGCTCTGGGCTCAGCCCAGGGCCTTGAACATGGCTTTCCTTATGTTCACAACCAAGGAAACCATCCCATGAGAGGCAGTAGAAAAAGGGTGGCTTTCTTCTGCCGTTCCCCCAGATAAGATGATGGCCGAGCAGCTTCTTGACAGAGGTGGCTATGGAGTGACTGCCACCATCACTGAAGGCGCTGGCTGGAGGAATCCAACCTAGAGAGCACAGGAGAGCCCAATGTGTGCAGCTGATGCAATCCAGACAGGGAGATGGCACGTTCTTTCTGTATTTGTATTGACAGACAAATCCCAAGGAGCTGCTTTGCTCTGAAGCAGCATATAGCAGGCCACATGGCATTGGGGCTCCAGCCTTGGCTTCTTGCATAGTCAGATGTTTCTAAGTGGCTGCTCCAGGCCTCCTCCTTCTCTCAGGGTTCCTTCCCTTTTTATTTTCCCCTGTTTTCTCAATCTCTTTCTCTTTCATGTTCCTTACATGTAAAATAAAATCCTGACATGGTTGCAAATGCTGTTTTGCTGGCAAGCATTAGCTTCGTGCTGCTTCTCATATGTGATCATTTATCATTGTGATAAATCTCTGATGTCGACATTGAAGATAAACATGGCAAAAGCTGGAAGAACGCAGTAAAATTATATAAGGGAGTTAGGGTGGACAAATATCTTAACTGCTCTGCCCAACTGGGTTTGGAATTGCTGTTCACCATCAAAATAAATCAATAGTTTTGTAGAAGGAACATTGAATGTATAGCTAGGCAGAGTTTTATCCCTAGCTGAAAGGTTTGCAAACCCCAGGTAGACTGTAGAGTTGAGTGTGCTGGTTTCACTTAAGCCTGGATGTGGTCACGTGCCTTTGAAAAGAGTGTTCCTCTAAGGACAATGAATGATCTTTGGAAAAGGCAACTTAAGTGCTGTTAAGCAGCTCATCACTAAGCCCTTGGAGAACACTCTGGACACCTGCATCCCGCTCACTGCAATGGCAGTAGGCAGTGAGCATCTATCCTATTTAAAGTCCTCATCCTGGAAGGTGAGGCAGGCATTTCTAGCAGCGACACTGGAGGATGCTCTCCCTGATAAGCAAAAGCCCTGGATCTGGGTAGTGGAGACCCTCACCCCATCATGCTATCAACTCCCTTCCACAGCACCAGGGCAGCAACAGTGAGGGATGGTGGGAAACTGCCTTCCCTCTTCTCTGTGGGTGTGTAGAGGTTGACGTGATGCTGAGGTGGCAAGGTGTGTTACTTTGCTATTTACGTAGGCAGGAGGCCGTTGCAGTAGCATGAGGCCGCAGTACTCAGATCCAAGTACTCCATTTTAAGCACCCCGAACCCTTGTTTGTTCAGATGCATAAGTGATTTAGATTCTCCCAGGTAGCAAGCACATGTAACCCTAGATAAATTGTATGTGAGAGAAAAAGATGAAAACACTCTGGATAATTCAGATTTTTTCCAAAGCATTTCAAGCTTGATCCAGAGGGTGCAGGGTTCCTTCAAGGTGCCAGTCGGTGCCGGTGGGTGCGACAGCACTGGGCGTGAGGGGATGCAGCAGTTTCCAAGGGAGACGGTTGAAGCACATCACCAGAAGTGGAAAATGGAGCAGAACCCACAGCTTCCCCCCATCATCCGTCCTGTGCTCCCATCTCTCTCATCACTGACATCAGAGCACTCTGCTGTCGAAGGGAGAGCTACAGCCGTCGCGGTGTTCCTCCCCCGCAGGTGCACCCGTGGCTAACCAAGGGGGGCGAGGAGCCCCTGCCGCTGGAGGAGGAGCACTGTACTGTGGTGGAGGTGACGGAGGAGGAGGTGAAGAACTCGGTGAAGACGATTCCGAGTTTGCCAGCTGTGGTATGTATAAACCACAACCGCATCCTCTGTGTGGGTCAGGAACATGGTACTTCCTGAAGCTTTCAGCTGGTGAAGGAGGTTTGGAGAGGGAACCTGCGTGCTCCTGGCATGAAAAGCTTGGCCTTTCAACCCAGCGTGAGCTTTTTGTGTCCGAGTACTGCGGGGCCTGACCGTGTGAGCCGTCCTGTTTATGTCTGGCTGCTTTCATAAGAGCTGTAGTTACACACCCCCAAAGTCTCTGGCATCATCTAGAGGTTGCAAGATACCTCGTTTGAATCCTCAAAATGAAGGCTCCAAACCTGGAGGTGACCTGGCCAGGGAAGCAGGGAGAGGACATCTGCACAGATGCACTTACCCACCAGCCTTAGGAGACCACGAGTGGGTGTTGAGAGCGCTCTCAGCAGTTTGTGTATAGTCAGCTGGAGGTCTGCTGTGGGCAGTTACTACAATGCAGGTGCCTGTGGGGGGTTCTTCATGGGGAGAGAGGTGCTGAGCACAATGAGGACTTGTTTTCACAGCTCTTGTGGTGTGATGTTAACAGACACTTGCCCCAACAACCAGCTGGGGCAGTGAAAGCCATCCTTCCCCCTTGATATCAAGACCTTTGCCTTTGAACTCACAGGAGCCAGCAGCACTCTGCAGGCAGTAGTGCAGTGCCTGACTGGGACGATGGCCCGGGAGAGCTCTGGTGCTGCCTTCTCATGAGCTTGGATCACCACGAGTGGTGGGCAGTGGTCAGCAGCATCTGCTTCTCCTCTTGCCAGCAGTGGTGCGCATCAGGGGCCTGAGCTCGCTGCCTGCAGGAGTGGCCTTGTCGAATAGCTGTTCTGTGGGTTTCTCTAGTTCATGCTCTAGCTGTAAGGCTGTTAAATGTCCGTTGAATTATTAAAGAAGGAGTTGTTAGACTCCTTTGAACTAGCTTCAAGGAGTCAGTCGGTCCTGCTGTTCTCAGTGGTCTGTGTTTTTTCCTCAAAGATCCTAGTGAAGGCCATGCTAAGAAAACGCTCCTTTGGAAATCCATTCGAGGCTCAGACGAAGCGGGAGGAGAGGTCCATGTCTGCTCCAGGGAACTTGCTGATGTACGTATATACAGCCTTGCTTGCCTCTGCTGCACCTGCAGAGTAAAGGTGTGTGGGGAGGGTGAAGGAAGCAGGTTGCAAATGTTTTGTGTATCATTTAAGGACAAAACTACCTCATAAATCAAGCACTGAGGATAAAATATACCTCAAGTCCTCTATGATTAAAATACAATGCATTAAAGCAGCCTAAATAGATGCTGTTCTCACTGTAAGATGGGTTTGGCCTAAACACATGTAAGGTGCTAAACTTGGGTCTGGATTTTAACCTATTAGTTTATAATATGCTGTGATTGGTGAACTAAAGTAAGCTTGAGTCTATTCTAGGTACGTATTGGAGGGTCTAATTCTTCTCTCCTTTTCATGGACAACAGAAGAGGTACCAGATGAGCAGTTTGCACATTTTATAAACTCAAAATGAGGTGATATGGCTTGTCTGGGGCCCGAGTTCAGACAGAGACACCATGAACACACATGGACAGACAGTGGAGAACACTTTGACATTGCTTTTTTGCTTTTTCATTTGCAAAAACATACAGTATTTTTTCACACTGCCGGTTATGAAATAGTGGAACACATTGCTATGGGATATTTTGGAGGCTGGATATAAAAGGCTATACTGTGATTAAAAAGGGAATAGACAAATTAATGCCTATTAGATTCATCAACAAATTTTAAACACAGTGATCTAGATGTACAGGGGCGGCAGGAGGATTCCTCTGTCCTTGGTTCTTACTCTTTCTCCCCCATTTTTCTTACTGATCCCCTTTGGAGCCAGGATTTTGGGCCATCAGTACATCAAGTAACAGCTGGACCATTAGCCTGACCTGGGACAATTATTTTCATGTTCTTAACCCACAGGATTTGTGAGGTTGCAGTTTACAACAAAGCTGCGTTGTCCCAAAATGATCATTTTCCACCCAAAATCCCAGTACCATGCCTAGCAAGCTCCCACGAGGGTGTGCTAAGAGTCTCACTACACCTTTGACAATGCAAATAGAAGAGCGTGTCTCATGGATGTGTGGGGATTTAAGGGCTCTGCTCAATTAAGGATGGTAACGCTTTAGGGCCCAGCTGTGTATTGGAGACTTCAGTAAAGGCTTTGCCTTTGGGTCCAGGACCAGTTAGTATTAGGCCCCAGTTTAACATTTAAACACCCCGTACATGAGGTCTGCTATGGGGTCACAGCTCCTTTGCCAGCTTAGCACAAGGGATTTGTCCTCATTTGTTTCCCTTGGCTCATTGCCTTCCAAATTAGTTATTGCTAATTTGACACACATCCCTGCCTATATCTTCACTATCGTTCCTGGTCACTGCATTGCACTGATCAGAGATGGGGAAACTTTTACTAAATTTGAAGAAAAATGTATTGTATGCTTCCCACTGTCCAGGCCAGCAAATTCAGAGCAAGGCAGGATTTCTTCTTTTCAAACCCTGCCTAAATTGAGATTTAGAAGTGGTCTCTTGTACTACCCTGAGCCTGTTTCCAAAAGGGATGTGTTGCTTTCCACCTTCATTTGAGATGCTTGAAAGCCCATGCCACTAACCAGCTGGTGGGAAAGCTGCTTCTCCCTTGATGCTGTGGCTGGTTCCTGCCTTTATCTGCTCAGAATAAGTAAAGTTCCTTTGATTTAATGTAGCTGTGAAATTCCTGATTAGCCACATTGTCAATATCTAATTCCTTCTTACATCTTTTTAGTCCTTAAAGATGAGCTATAAGCCTTTACTTCTATTTGTCTCCTTTCTAAAGTTGCTAGTCAAAAGTCAAATTCTTCTCAGCTTCTACAAAATCAACATCTTTCCCTGTCTCTACTCATTTCAGCCCCATGTTGACATTCAGGCTCCTTGTACAGGACTAAAAGGTTTTTGAAACCCTTGTGTGTAATTTCCACTATGCTGCTGCTGTGTCTAGTGCCTTTGGTTTACACGTCAGGTCAGGGATGGAGCTGCACCTGTGCTGGGCTGGCTTCTGCCCAGCAGTCTAAGCGCTTAGAAATGTCCAAAAAGAATGTGAATGGTCTTTGGATGTGACAGTTCTCCACTGCACTAACCCCTGCACTTAGTTTCTCAGTCTCATGTCATCAGTGAAAATTTTTGGCAGTAACAATTGACTTTATCCTAAATTAATTCAGACACAGTGGGAGCTTTGAGAACTCATCTTGAAACCCTCCTGTTTAAAAGAAAGACATTGGCTAAATCTCTTCAACAAATATTGTCATATATTAAGCAGTACAGCAGGGATGCTTTTTTTGAGGATCATAGATTATTATTTCAGACATTGAAAAACGTTAAACTGGTTGAATCTAATGAAAATCACTCCAAATTTAGATTTGTTGAATCTAATGACATTGATTTTAAGTGAACCGAGTCTAAATGGGAATGTTTATTGTTCTCAGTGAGTTATCTCTTGATTACAGTGTTATTTTCACAGGGGCAAACATCCAGACACTAAGCCCATCCAGTTTTTAATTCATAGTGGGTTGTTCTCTAGTAAAACCACCCTTAATACACATATAAAATATAACAGCAGTGAAATGTTATGAATAGCACTGTGTTAGTTAAAATAAATTTTGAGTGAGTCTGGATGACTATCGATTTCAATGACGTAGCAGGAACAGATAATATCGTTGGAGCATAAAGAGTCTGCAGGGTTCCTGCACGTCAGGCACCGCTTCCACCCCTGTGCCTGGGCAGGGGACCCCGAAAGTGGGACTTGCCAGGAGGGCAGCGCCCGCAGCCCTCGCTGCTCTCTGCCCGCACTGCTGGGGGGTTGCCTGCAAGGAGCTGAGAGAAAAGTGAGACACGTTCCCAAGCTCTCCCCCACAGAGCTTCTCCTCCCCAGCAACAGTGTCTTTAGAGAGAGATAAATCACCTTTTCTAGTGTTGTATCTCCTTCTAGTTGTAGGTACAAAATAACTTGTGGTGTTTCTGTGTAAGAAAAAAAGAAAAGCAGTTAGAAAACTCCAGTTTCACAATCAATTTATTTAATTAGGCTGCATGTAAAATTGCCGGAGCCCCACTCAACTGCTGCTTCAAGCATCTTAACATCTGTGCCCATACTGAGAATATATTTTGCAGGAAATCCTCTGACAGCTGAGTCTGTTTTCTGGTATTTGATACCCAATTGATGGTTCTTAAAATGGATCTGTCCTTTAAACTCACTCCTTGGGATTTGGAGAGGAGGAAGGTAAATCATGTGGTTGAATCTTTTTTTTTTAATTTCTCCCCGACTTACCTATACACAGTGTGCTGGGCTCTGTTCTTGGAAATGCTTTGTGTAGAAGCTGCGTCTGCAGAAGTCTTTGTGATAACAGGAGGTCTTTTATGTTTTCCACAGCCTTTGTTCCTTCGGAGGACGCCATTAAGACACTGGTGATTTGAAATAGTTCTTAAATTAGTACTGAGAGGAGGGAGGGCTTTTTAGCGCTCCTTAGGCCTGGAAGAAGCAAATCCTCTTCTGGGTGTTATTTATTGCTTTGTTTAATAGCACTGAAAAGTCAAAAAGGCAGCTGTTAAAGTGGCAGGCACATCACCAGGGTAGAAGACAACTAAAATGAAGATGCCCCTGTTCAGCAGATCTTGTTTTGCAACGGTTGCTTTACCCACGAGAGCCCCTCCCCAGCCCTGGAAGCCGTGTGTGAGTGCTGCCAGCGGTCTCTTTACCCTGCGAGCTGCAGGGTGGCCAGGGCTGGGTGGCTCCGGGCCCTGCCGTTCGTGCGGGATCGCCGTGATTGAGCCCTGCAGATCTGGCAGAGGATGGCCAGGTTCAAGCCTGTTGTTAATGGTGGCTGCAGAAGCAACTGATCGTTTCTAATTTTTCCAGTTGCAGAGTATTTTTTTTAAATTCAGCTGTTCAGCATTCACAGCTAAGTTCTGAGTTTCTCTTAGCAGTGTTTGCTATATTTCTTCTGCCTGCTCCAGATTTCTCCTAATTGAGTCAGCACTGGCTTCACCACATTTTATTACTCTCATTTATTGCAACTACTACCTATCAAATTAATTGCTGTGTTTTGACAGACCCAATTTACTTTCCCATTATGGCTGCTATTACTGTTGATGAAATGTGGTTGTCAGCTCCTGTATGGGGGATCAGTCTGTATTTAGAAAGCCTACCCTGTTTCCAACCTTCCCAAAAAGAGAGCAAGAGAGCTGTCACTGCCCTTAGGGCCATACTGTTCATGTAGGCTAGGCACAAGGAAGCCAGGAGGGAGAGGGCGGTAAAAAAATTCTGACCCAGGGCCCCAAGCAGAAACAGCTTCTCCCAAAGCAGTCTGGAGGTACCTGCCTCGTGGGGGCTGTGTGCTGAAGGTCTCAGGGCTCGGTGCCATAGGGCTGCTCAGAAAATAGACTGCAGAGATCCCCCTAGGACAGACAGGTTTACAGCATCATCTTTGACGAGCACTTCTGTCATATCATAAGCCAGTGTTGCCAACAACACCAACATGGTAACTCTAGCCCAGTTCCCAGCAGGGGTGCACTTATTCCTAATAGCTGAGATACTGGTCTGTACGGGTAGGGAGTAGGACATATCCTCTTTAAATTGCTGGAACTCTTGGGACAGTTTATTATACAGAGGGGCCTCTTCAGCCTGTGTCACCTCCTCTGGCAATATTCTAAATCCTTTACTTTTTGGCCGGTCCACTGAATATGGCAAAAAGAGAGAGAAATAAAACCCAAGAAAAGATGATTGATGCACGGTGCAATTGCTCAGCACCTGCAATGTCTGTTGCCAGGGTTTGAGCAGCCACAGTTTGGCTGCAGGTTGGGTTTAAATTTGTCAGATGTTTCCACTAAAGATGCTCCCTTGGTCTCTGCCAGTGCGTGGTGTCTGTCTCTCCCAGGGAGGTTTCACATAGGTACCACACAGATGCTGTCAGAACAGAGTCAAACCTAACCAAAAGCCCTATCAGTTTTCACTGCAGAGAGAAGTGCATGTCTCGTGGGAAGAGCCATGCCCCACGGTGCAGGTAGGTATCCTCATAGTCTGCCCAGGGACTGCGGCACCGACTGCAGCACAGGATTTTCCTCTGGCAAAGACCCACATCACAGCAGGACCCTCCAGAGAGTGGCCCTGTGCTGGTGTGGCTCTGCCCGTGCTGAGCTCAGCCACTGCCGTGACTGTGGTGGGACACAAAACCCCCCAGAGGTGCAGGACATGGCCCAGGAGGGCACAGCTGGACAGCAGCAGCATGCTGGAAGCCATCTGGAGCTCACAGCAGCGGTAGGGGCTGGAGTGGGTTTGTACCAGTGCTCCCAGTGCCCGTCCCTCTCCCTTCCAGGTTGCCAGTGAACGTGACTGATGCCTCATCCTCTATTTCACTCTGCTTGCTGGGCTTGTTAGGTACAGAAATACAAGCTCCTTTGCCTGCTGCCATCATCTTCATGATCACTTTCTTCCTTTGTCTCATTGCTTTGCTCTCAGGGACAGACACCTCTTAAACACATCTGTATATTTGCATCCGTCTTTAAGGTAATTCAGTGTTTGTGTTTCCCCTGGGTGCTGTAAAAGTGTGTGTCCTCTCCTCAGCTTGTGTGATTTGTGTGGTAGTGAGAGCACTCAGCTCCATCCTTCCTTCCTGTAGGAGCAATATTACTGCAGTAATTCTCTGTGTGTGACACTAATGTTTATGTATGTTTTTTTTTTATTATTATTATTTGTGGTCCTTTGGTCTTTTGGCCTTCTTTGAGGAGAGAAGGGTGAAAAAAGCCAGTTGGGCTTTAGCAGGAACTGCTAAACTGGAGGGAATAGCTATGGAATTTGGGAAGGGCTGAGCTTTGTAATTTGGGCTCATGTTTAATATTTAGTGGTTATACAAAAGAAATAGAGCCAGCTCCAGCCACTCCACCATTCCCCTGCGCTTCTGCCTCTGATGCTGCGCTGGGAGGGCTCTGGGCTGACTGAAATCAGCTGCTCTGTGCGCCCCCCCCCCTCAGCCAGGACTTTACATGAAAGCACAGTCTTGTCTGACCGGTTGCACAGACCGTTGTGGGAAGCAGCTGATCCAGTTGATTCTGTCAAATAACACAGCAGCTGCAAACTGTGACAAACTGCTTACAACCATCTCGGTGGGAGGCCTGGGGATGCAGTGCCTAGGCAGGACCCAGCCCTGGCGAGATCCGGGCTGGGCTGAGAGACCAGGGAACCACCACGCACTTCTCAATACCTTTGGGAGCAGGTCCAGGACCCTGGCGCCTCTGGCTGGCCTGGTTTACTGCTCCTGGACAGAGGGCTGAGCTTGAGCCAGGCTGCTGCCCGCTCCAAGTGAGGAAGGACTTGCAGAGATGCTGCACAAATCGTTAGGAGAAGGCAGGCAGGGGAGGGTGGGGACTGCCATGGTGCCATCAGTGACAGCTGGTGCCGCTGCTGCATCTTTCATAGAGAACTTCCATAAAGAGGAAGGGGACTTCAGCCTAGCCTAGGGCAGATTACTGGTGTTTAATGGGGACTCAGTGGAGGAATTAATCACTTACCAGAGGGGAGGGGGGGGTGTGTGTGCTGTGGTTCAGCTCTTTGTAGGATGTCCCACTCCATCCCTGTCCTGTGCTGCCTGTGTTTCTGGAGGAAGTGCTGTGAGGCTCCTTCCTTGCTGGGCACAAAACGCTGTGTAAATACTCAGGGGCTGTGATCTTCCTGCAGCTGCTGTGTTTAACGGCAACGGGGTCTCCTGGCTAATTGCACAGGTCAGGCTTCGCTCACCTGTGGTTTAAAAAACTTAGCAAAAATCCAGTCTTGTTTCTTAAAAAAGAGTTATTTAATGGAGATTGACATTCAGATTCACATTCAGCCACGGCCCTCACAGCACGAGCCCCAGCTCCTGTGCCGACTGCAGAGCCTTGATCTCTGCCGCCTTAGTGCAGCCTGATTTTAGCTGATCTTTGCCACCCTGGGGGTCTCGTGGCAGCCTGTTTTGTGTTGCGCCCCTGCCGCAAGGCGTTTGGAGAGGCAGAGGCTGCTCGGGGGAGCGTTGAATGCAGGTGGGCAGGATGGGCCAGGCAGCTGTGCTGTGCCGGAGAAAGGAGCCTCTGCTGCTGCATGGGGTTATAAATCATTTAAAGAGTGTGATGACAAGCACCGAAGATGAGGCTGTTCCTCAGCCTCCCCTGCAGGGAAACGGTCCGCGCTTCAGGTTTGAGGTCAGGTTTACCGCAGGGCTTTGCTGGAGTGGAGGGAGAAGGGAGCGTGATTTCTGATCGCTTCTGGCTTCTTCAAAAATTGGTATGGATCCGCGTGTACTTCCAGTGTCGTTCGCAGCCAGACAGCAGCCCGGAGCCCCAAACCCGCGCGTCCCCAGCACCGTGTGCTCCCGGCACGTGCAGCAGCACTGCCACCGCCGGGGTGGCTTCTCCTCGCAGGCTGATGCTCCGGCAGCCGGGCTGGCGTGGGTGAGGCCGGGCACCCCGGGAGCCGTGGGTCACATCACCTCCTTTACACTGTGGAGGTCGTCACCTCTTCACCACTGAGAAACAGGCGCCTTGGGTGCGAGTCATCCGCCTGGCGTGGGGTGTTGTGAGTGGCACCTGGAGGTGTCGGGTTTTTTTCCATTCGATCCAGCGACAGCTTTCTGGTCAAATCCGAGTCACGAGCTGTCTTACAGATGGCTGGGCTGGCTGGAGGTGTTGCTCCTCGGGGATCCCCCGGAGTGCAGCACTACTGGGCGCGGGGCTGGTGTGGCTGCCAGCGCAGCTGAGGCTTGGCCCTGGCTTTGCTGATCTGGCCGGCTCAGCTTGGAGCCCGTAAAATCCCCCAGCCCAAGCCGGCAGGAGGCTCCATCAGCCTAAACATCTTGGTTCACTGGGTCAGAGTGATGCCCTGAGCAGCTCTGAGCCTGCCCTCCCCACTGGCGTGTCCCGTCCCACCACAGCAAAGCTCAGGTTGTCTACGTAGGAAGATACTGAAAATTAAGAGCAGGGGATCAGGCTTGAAGGTATCGTGGTGTATGTACAATGCAAGTAAGTTACCTCGCCTGTGGTTTGGGGGCCGCTGATCTCACATGCTGGAGTGATTTCGGGGACCAAACTCACAGAAACTGAAATTAAAAAGCTCTTGTGTGGGGAAGACTGGGTTCTGTAGAAGCATTCTGATTTTACTGCTATTTACAGCAGGACTTTGGAGAAGCAGTGACGGTATCGAGCCACCGCTCTGATCGTTTTGAAAAAAAAAAAAAAAAATTCAGATGAAAGAAAAGCAAACCACAACTCCCCAGATACAAACTAGATAATTTGGAAACATTGCTGCTGGTCTGCAAGACTTTCTCCAAGAACCAGGTACCTCCTCGTGATGCTGCAGCCAGGAGAAGGGCATCCAGGGAGGTGCAAAGCTTCAGGGTGCAGAGACCAAGCAAGTGTGTCGGCACAAGTTGCACAGCGCTGCAGCGCATCCAGCTGGGATACTGCTGAGCTGCCTACGTGGTACCAGCACACCAGGCTGGTTCTTTCTATTCCCTTTTAATATTGATGTCGTTGACCTCGGTTGCCTGTTGGAAAAACCACCCTCCGCTTTATTTCTTGCATTGCTGTGTGCCTATAATCTCTTTATTTCCTTGCCATTCATGTAGAAAACAAGGGAGCAGAGAAGGAGGCCGGGACCCGGAGCTGCCCGACGTGTGTGAAGACGAAGCCACGTCCTGAAGCCTGTCGCAGGCTGGTCGCTCACGTGCTGCTGCTGTTGTACCCATCATGGTGTTGTCTAGCACACATCTGCCCTCATCACCGAGTCCAGGGCCTGAAAAGCAAAGGGGGGGGGGGGTGGGGGGGGGGGAAAAAAAAAAAAAAAAAAAAAAAATTCCAAAACGGACCAAGCCAGAAAACCAGGAAAGAGAAACAGAGCGGCCGTAAGGAGAAGAGCGAGTCCTCGGGCAGCGCGGCTGGCGGAGGGCTGGCTCGGCCTCGGGGGCGGCTGCGTCCCTCGTGCAAGGTGTCCGTGCGCTCCTCCGTGTGTGCCTTGCTCTCCACTTGTGCTTCACGTGTGGGCTTTGTAGTTGGGTGTCTCGGCCGAGGAATGTGGTTTTTATTTGTAACGCAGCAAACCAAACGTCGTCTCATGGGCCGTTTGCCCCGGAGACTTTTTCCTTGCTTTTTTGCATTCTCTATTTCAAGCATCAGGAAAAAAAAAAAAAAAAATTACATTGGAGACAGGTTTTATATCAGAGGGCAACTGTTTTATTTAATACATGCGTCAAGCACTTCTGTATATCAGGACGCAGCCCTGCTTCTGTTGGAGCTGATGGCAAAATTTCTTTGGATACCAGTTAAATGAGGATGAGATCTTGCTTTTGGAGTGGACGCTCTCACTCTCTATGCCTTTCTCTCTTCTTTTTTTTCCTTCTCTCCTTATCCCTCGGTTTTGCACGGTGTAAATCCTGCCACCGTCGATGGCTTTAGGCAGGGCGGCGTCGTTAAATAGAAGAACCACGCGATATTCCCTGTAACGTGCCCTGAGCCTTTGAACGTGGTAGGGCTCTGGAGTGCTGGGATGTGCTGTTACCCGGGAGGGCCCGGTGCCTCGGGCACATCTGCGGAGCCTGTGCGCACAGGCCTTGTGTTCAAAGCTCAAAAGAAGTGGCAGGTTTGGGGTTATTTTATTTAAGAGTGACTTCCTTTCCCTCACTCAGCTCTTAACTCTTTTAAAACTGTGTACCTGATGCTTTTAAACTCTAAATTTCTTGAAAAATGCCCCAAACTGGGAGAGCTCCCTAGGATGGAAAATGTTGAGGGAGGATTTTTAGACTAAGGAAAGCTACAGAACACAAATGAGATCAAAACTTGATCTTTTGGTTTTTAAGGCTTTAATTTTTAATTTTATTTTAAGATTGTAATTTTTATGCACGTGCTGATGCTGCTATTTTATCCATAGATTGCTTCTAAATTTGGGATTAGAAGCTTCATCTCTACAGTTTGACAACAGGTGAGAGATTGCACTTAAAAGGGCAAATGCAGCTATTTCAGTGGCTGTTGACTGTACAGACTGTGTGTATAATCAGGAATTTCACTCTTGCACTCGGAGAGTAAAAACCAGTGACATGAATCCATCAAAATATATGTCAATATTTCCCTTGAGCTTTAGGGGGTCTGAACATGCCCCTGGGAAGCCAATGGGATTGGATTCTTATTTTATAGTACTTAAATAAAGGACACAATTAAATTTGGTTCCTACACAATCTTCCTGTCTTCTTTTAGGTTAATCCTGAGGGCTTGGGACTTTGTTCCCTAATTTTTCGTGCGAGGGGATACGTGTCTGAGTGTTGGGGGTAGTGACTGGTGTGCTGGTGCTCCCGTTTTGTTTCCTGCTGTCTAGTTTGGTGGTTCCCAGTGTTTTCGCAGCTGAACTTCGCTGCCAGTCCCCAGCCTGCCGCCTCCCCTCGCTCGTCGTCGGCCGCCTGCGCTGGGATGCCCAGAAGCAGTGGCCAGCCTGGGCTGTGCCCCACATCTTGCCCCTAAATAGTGGCAAATTGGGAAATAATAGTGCAGCTAATGTATTTTATTAAGGAGACCTTTAATTTTTAAAGCAGGCAAAGGCGTTCGAACCTCTAAAGGTTACTGCTCTGGGTCTGTGCTCTGCAGCGCTCGCATCCCGGTGGTGAATCCCGCCTGCATTTGTGCAGGAGTGAAAAGGGAGCGGGGGGCTTGGGAAGGCTCAGAGCGGAGAGGGGGGAGCTCTGCAAATGGCAGGGGGAGGGACTGGCCGGGAGCACCCGCTGCCTGCAGAGGGGACGGCCTGGGGGTGCAGACTGGTCTGTGCTGGGCACAAAGCGCGGGGGTGCCACCACCCCGTCCCGCGGGGCTCCCGGCACCGAGCTGAGCGGCCCCGGGGAGACGGCGGGAGCAAACTGCCTGCCCTCCAGTTTGCGGGGAAAAGGGGCTCTTCTCCCCCCAGCTGGTGTCCCCGAGGGAAGCCCCCGGCCCACGCAGGGGGTGACCTCGGGACAAGGACACAGCTCGGGAAATCGCCTTACCCGGGGAGAAAAGGGAGTGATCCTTATCCCCGTGGGACTTGTGGGGTCTGAGCAATACTCGCGTCATGCTCAAATTGCTCTAAGACTGCGAGCACAGGGTTATTCATTGTATTTTTTATATATATAGTAAGAATAATTTGCTAATCCAGTCAGTTATTGGGGTTATTCTCATAAAGCCCAAGGGGGTGGGAGCGAGCGGGGCAAGGCTGCTGGAGGGCTGTCCTCAGCTTCTGTTAATGCAACTAAACTAATCATAATTTACAAATCAGCTCTCTGTTGTGTTCCTTTAGTGGTAGCTAAAGTGTCGCTTTGGTTTTAAAGTGGAATGGGGGGAATGTTGAGGGGTTTTTTTATATTTATCCCAAAATCTACTTTGAAAAATTTGCCCTTTCAGCTGAAACAAATCCTTCTGAAGCTGTTTCCACAGGTCCAAAAAGCATCCAGAGTTGTACAGCTGAACTTGTGTCATATCTTGTTTCTTCAGCAAATCTGCCAGTCTTGGGGGTCTTTCCTTTATACTTCCAGAAATCACCCATATCGCGTCACAGGCAGCAGCCTGAAAACTTAATACATGAAGTGAAATGAGAAAGGCTCACTAGCAGCGAGAGAAACACTCAGGTTTATTTAAAGGCTTGGTAGGACTCCTGCAAAAATACGCTCTGCTTCTTGTGTAGCTGAAATGAAATCCTTGCTTGTCTATGTGCACGTTAAAGCAGCTCGGAGCAATGCTATTTCAGCTCTGAAGAAAGGAAGAGATTAAAGAGGTAGTATTTATTTGAAAATAAAGATCTCTGCCAAGCCAGCCCTTTTATCTGTTCAGGAAAGTCATTCTCTTTAGCTGCATGGCTGAGTATTTGTCTCGCTTCTCTCTGTGAACGAGGGGCTGGGGTTTGGTGTGGCAGGGCTCCTCGGAGCAGCAAGGGGAGCTGGCGTAGGGGAGCTCTGGTGCTTTGCTACCTACTCTTGTTTTTCCCCTACAAATCTTCAGTTCCCTGCGCCAGTCACAGAGCACCAGCATCCTGTGAGAAGAGAGAACGGGGATGCTCCTGACGGCGATTGCTGGGCTCTGCATCCCGGGAGGGCTCCTCTTTCCCCACCACGTGATGTCACGGGCCGCTCGGGCCACCTTTGGTTGGATTTTCCACCTTGGGGCTGGGCCCAGATCGAGAGACCTTGAAGGAAATTTCTCTTTGGGAGAAATTGCACATCTTTCTGATTTCCTGGAGGTAGATTTCTCCCTCTTGCTCAATTAATAGCTCTGGCCCTTCAGTTAGGGAGGTAGTGCTAAGTAAAAACCCTGGTTTAGTCTCTCCTGTCTGGTGCAGAGGAATACTGCAGTGGAGGTCTTTAATCCCATCCTTTGGGCAGGAACGGGTCACTCTGAATGTCACTCTCGCAAATAAATGAGGTTTTCAGCTCTTTAATCGTGTATTGCAGCGTGTGAATGGCTGCATGGATGACGACTCACGGTGTTTATAAAGCCTCCTCCCCCAGCTGTGCCCATGCAGGGGCTCAGCTTCGGGCCGTGCTTTTCCCTGTGCCGCATCTGTGGGAAATCGCAGCGTGGGCAGACGCGGTGTAGCCGCGTGATTTAGCCCTGGAGCAGGAGCAGGTCTGTGGAGCAGGGGTGCAGAGCAGAAAGGGTACCTGTAGTGAGCCTCTGGGTGGGTGTTTCCAGGTTTCTGTGCTGCCAGGGGTTGAAGGGAGACCTGGAAGTTTTGGCTGCGGCACCATCTCCATCGCGATCCGTGCAGGAGCCCGTGCTCACAAGAGAAACTCAATCACCTGCAGCAGTAAGTGTGACTGCGCTGTGATTAGTTCTCCTTTTTTCAGTGCCTTCAGACAGGAGAAGTAAGCTGCACAACAAAAGACTGGGATTTCTGAAAGATCCGGTGCCGCACGTGTCTCTGACATCATTTTGAGGGTGGCTAAGTCGGGCCTGTCCTTTGCTGGTCACGGGGGCATCAGTCACATATCTCATTCGTGTCATGTCTGGGGCCAGGATGGCCGTTGGCTTTTTGCACCTGGCAGGTTAGAGAAATCTTTGACTTTCAGAGCTGAAAGTGCTCCTGGAGCTGCGTGCTGAGGGAGCGCTGCAGGTTCGCAGGCGTGGGGGCTGCAGCCTGCCTCGGGCACCGGCACGGGCTGCTGCCCTCCCCGGGGTGAGACACGTCGGGGGCAGATGGAAAACGGGGCAGCTTTAGGTGTTTTGTGCTTGAGTGTCCCCTGTGATACACCATGGGGGGAACAGTACAGGGTCTCTGGCGAGCCCATTCTACACCTGCTGTCCCCTTGGGCAGGTCTTCACCTCCCCTGCTGCGTTGCCAGAACGTGGCCTCCGAGGCAAACAAAACAGTGCAAAACCCCACTGAGGGAAATACACCCCCAGGTCCTTGCTGCGTGGCGTTGCTAACCCAAGCTGCGTCGTTCAGGGGGTGCTAGGGAGGGTGGTTTCACAAATCCTGCCCTGGAAAATATTCCCGGAGAATAAAAGAGGGAAGGCTGGAGCGGCCAGTGGTCGGGCAGCATCAGGGTTGGTCATGGAAAAGCTGGTTTTGCCTGTGGCTGCATCTCAAGTGAGCCCGGTGGGGGGGGGGGGGGGGGACACACACTGGGTAGCTGCCCCGGGCAAAACAAATTGCAGCTCAGTGAAACGACTCCCAGGATGTGGTTTAGTTCCTCCTTTATTGCCAGACTTGCAGCAGAGAGCTGGTGCAAGGAAGTTTATGTTCCTTCAGCACGGCTCCGTATCCTGAAGCCACCAGCAGCGCTGCGGCGGGGGCTGGAGGAGGTTTTTCTCTGTTTCTGTCATGTGTGGCTGGGGGAGCTCATTTGTTCTCCCCATCTCAGCGCTTTCCCTCTCCTATCTTGCCCCAAAAAAACAGGAACTTTGTCCTGCCAGCCCAGGGGCTTCGTCCCAGCCCCTTAGAGACCCAGGCTCTCCCAAAGGGTCCCGGCTGCCCTCCCTCGTGCTCAGAGCCCCCCATCCCCGCTGGCTGCAGCGAGCAGCATCCCGTAGCAGGTGCTGGGGGATTTCCTACACCAAGCACCACAACCAGGCACACGAGAAGCTATTGCATTGATTGCAAGTCATCCTTTGATGGTGCAGCTAATGCAAGAGCTCCAGAACAAACCCAGCCAGGATTATTGTCTCCCCAGTGTTGTCTCTGGGCAGACTGGCTGTGTAAGTTAGAAGGACCATTGATGGTCTCAGACACCTTCATCAATGATTTCCAGGTGTAGAGCTCACATCTTCAGTGTTTTCCTAGCTGCTCACTGTTATTGTTCTGCTACAGTAAAAGATGGTCCTTGTTCAGGACAGGCGATCTCCCCTTTGTGTCGGATGGATGGCGATAGCAGGAAAGGCTCCTTTGCGCCCCGAGGGGATGGGGATTGCAGGAAATGTAAAAATGTTTCCAAAGGAAGGAGTGTGCTGCAGTGCTGGGGGGCCCTGCTGAGAGCATGAGCCCGTCGGGTGTCCGGCAGGAATCCTGGACACTGGAAAGCAGATAGCAGGGTTTTGTGTATAACTTAGTATAACTTGGTTTGGGTACCAAAGTTCTGCGCTTTACCAGGGCACATTTACAATGTTTGCTGAGCAAAGAGTGAAAGGGATTTCTTTGCTGGCCCAGAGCCTCCTACATGCTCTGATCAGGTCCCTCCCAACCTGAACTGACCTGGATTATCCTGTGGCCCTGGGGCTCTGAGCGCAGCCTCCCGTGGGACCCGGCAGGGAGGGAGCTCGAGAACCAGTCGCTGCCTTTCACCTTCCCTTCCCTGAAGGAAAGCCGTGTCTGCTCAGTGTTGTGGATAGCAGACGCCCAGGCCCTCAGTCAGTAACCACAAGCCATCAGTCAAAGCGTTCCAAAAAAACGTAATTCAAGAAAAAATAACTTACAGCTTTTGAAGATAGAATTTGGATCCTCTGTGCCGTAATTTTGCTGCTGTTTCTGATTTATAGGCCTGTTCTGTTAGTGTTTAAGTCTCTTGTTATACTTGATGTGAAATATATGACTCTGTATGTACTCTGCTATAATTCAGGCATGATGTATATGCACTCAGTACTGTAATGGCATGTGGCTGTTACACTGTAAATATGTACCATGAATAGAGAGGCTATTTTTTGCATGCTTTTGTACTCTAGAACTGAAGAGAAAATGGCAATAAAGTCCACAGAAATGACACTCGGTGTAAGTGCAG